GGGGCCGGGGGGAGTGGTTTTCATGGATAGGGTGCCAGGGTTAGGTTTACTCCTTTGCTTTTTGTTTTTTAAGAAAAAAAAGAAAGAAGAAAAAAATAAAACAAAAAAAAGAATAAAAAAAGGGGGGAGCGGGGAGGAATAGTTCCCAGGAGGAATGAAAGGGCCGGAAATCTCCCTCCGCGCCCAAGAGGACTCGACACCGCTAGTAGCGCAGATGCAGCATGGAACCCGTGCCATACCCTACCCTTCATGCCAGTAAACCAGCAATCCGGGATAGCAACCTCACATCTGCCGAGCTACCTCGGTGGACAAAAGAGAGGGCGGCCGGATATCCGCCACAAAGCATCCCTCCTTCAGCCACCACCCCGGAATCCGAAGGTGGCTTCCAGAGATACACCCGTCGCCCAAAAGACACCCAAAGCTACTCCGGGATACCGGAGAGGGATCGGGACACCCCTAGGCAATCCAGATTCCACGGCAAACTACGCCACCGCCAAGAAACCTCAACGGAATGGGATCGACCCCGGTGTCCTTTCCCCTACCTAGGAACTAGCACGCCTGTGGGAGAAATCACGAAGGCTAAAAAGAGGAAGGGCAAAAGGGAGGGGTGAGGAGGAGGAGGAGGAATGGAAAAAGGGGAGGATGGGGAGGATGGGATAGGGGAGGGGAGAATGGGGGGTAATTAGGTTCGGTCTGAGGAAGAAGACCGACAGGGCTAATTCCTCAGACCAAGAGCCTCTTCACCACGCCAAGGAGCCCCCCTTGAAGAGGCCCCACTTTCCAGAATAACCATTTTTCAAAATGAGAGGTCACTACAACTTTACAGATGTGTTAGCTTTGGATGCCCATATGCTTAAATAAAAAAGTGCATTTGGCACTGCTCTACTAGTTTGCATAGAATTAAATTTGTATGTAAATTATATTTTTTAAAGGCTGTGAATTTTTTTTCCTAATAATCTATTATTTTACATTTGGGACAATAAACATTTTTTAATATTTTTAGCCTCTTAAGGACTTGGATCCAATATATATATAATTTAATTAAAATATTTGTTAAAAATTCTCAATTTCCACTTTTGTATACAATCCAATACAAAACATATTATTTAATTCCTTGGTGGGGAAACAGCTGATGTTAAAAAAAAAAAAGGAAAGATCTAAAGCTAATATTGAGTGTTAAAAAAATAGAATACATACTATTTTCATGGGTAATTAATCATCACAGGAAATAGCCTGAGAACTTATGATGCCATTACTCAAGTAATGGAGATGTGGTTTCAGTCACTAAGACTGACTGATAATATGTAGGGAAAAAATAATTATGAGAAAAATGGTTATCTTCGAAAACCACAGACTGAATTTTATGTATTTTTCTTTTTTTAAGAGCAAGTTTGTATGAGACACAAAGAACATCACAAATATAATTTAATAACAAAAGTAGCTAAATAAATAAGAAATAACAGGTACTACATAAATAGTGAGATAAGCAAGATATATCACACATGTTAACTTGTCACTTAGTTACAGTATCAGCTGTACAGTGCATCCTTATGGCTGTCCCATTGACAATGAACACCTTTGCTTTCAAAAACATACTTTCAAACCACTCTGGAAAGGCAGCCAAACAATGAGTGATGGTTTATTTCCTTCTCTGGATCACTTTGGTGTGAAACAGCCAATGTGAAAAAAAAAAAAAAAAAAAAAGTCAACCTTGTTCTTTATACAAATTACTAGTTCTTTGAGCAATTCAGGTTTCCTCATCAGTCTAAGGAAATAAACTACTAGACCCATACATTTAGTACTTGGTAAATACTTCAAACTGCCTTGCACTATTGACCTTACAAGTGATAAGAAAAATATATCCTCTATATAAAACTATTTAAATAGCTATACAAAATGAATATCTTCTTTATTAAAAGCATGTAACAATGATAAGAAGTCATCTTGATCCATATGCCTTGCACGTTTCTTGTCAAACTTTCCATCAATCAGAATATCTTCAATTTTTCCTTCATAACAAAATCTTCAGGTATCTTTTTCTCATGTAGTGAACACCAAGTTTTGAAATTTTTTTCTAAAGTCTGGAAAGGATAGGAAATTATTAAACATTTATGATAAAGCATAAACATTGATAATACATTTACATTTTTTATTTTAGTATGCCGGCCGCTTCCCACCAAGGCAGGGTGACCCAAAAAGAAAGAAAAAAAGAACTTTAATCATCATTCAACACTCTCACCATCATTCATAATAATCACTGTCTGCAGAAGCGCTCAGATACAACAGTCTAGATGTCCCTCCAGACTGCCAATATCCCAAACCCCTCCTTTAAAGTGAAGGCATTGTACTTCCCACCTCCAGAACTCAAGTCCGGCTAGCTAGTTTCCCTGAATCCCTTCATAAAATATTACCTTGCTCACA